TGTCTCTGTCTTGTTTTTTTTTTTTTAAAAAAAAGAATCATCAATTACTTTGCTTATCCTTCATCTTGTGATATTCGTAGTAGTTCTCAAAATATATCATATTTTGCCATGTATTTTACTTTTAGTCGATCAGGTTTACATATTACTTAGAAGTCCACGATGTGTGTCCTTAATTCGAGCAACGTTTCTCCGTACTATATTTAATTCTGTTTTTTGAAATGCTTGTTTTTGTTATTTTTTTCTTTAATTAATTATTTTCTGTTAGATGAAATCTCTTGATTTACTGTTCCTTGTTTTCCAGACGTCTTGAAATCATGTTAATAAACTAGCGCTTCTTCTGAAATGAATCGAATGAGATATTTGATGTTCTTGATCATTGGGATATGTTTTTTTTCTTCCAGCGAATACTTAAATCTGTGTATGCCTGAAAGTTTGAATATCGTGGCTTGGCCCATGCTATTACTGTATTTCTGAAGTGTGTAACTTATCTTTTCACCAATGATCAATCAATTTTGTTTGTCCTGTGACATACCATATTTCCTTATGTACTAAATTCATACACCGACGCCAACAATTTTTTTCTCCCTTTTCAGATTGACCCTGTGAAATACAAGAGCATTTCATCTGGATTTGGACTTTTGCTAAAGGAGCAGGGAATCAGAGGCTTATTTAGGGGTTGGGCGCCAACTTTTCTGGGTTACAGTGCTCAGGGTGCCTGCAAGTATGGAATCTATGAATTCTTTAAGAAATATTATTCCGATATTGCTGGACCAGAGTATGCAGCAAAATACAAGACCTTGATCTATCTTGCTGGCTCTGCATCTGCTGAGGTGATTGCAGATGTTGCACTTTGCCCCTTTGAAGCTGTTAAAGTTAGAGTTCAAACTCAGCCAGGTTTTGCCAGAGGTTTGTCAGATGGCTTTCCCAAATTTATCAGATCTGAAGGTGCCCTTGGGTAAGCTCACCATATTATCATCTATATCCAATTGCCTTCCTTTGAGGTTAAGGTTTAGAGCCAGCTGCTGCTTGACAATATGTGTTGGAAATATATGTAGGAAATAGATATTTCTGAAATAATCAATATAATAATTGATTTAATTAAAGAGATAAGAAAAATCTATAAATTATGAATGGAGGGACTTGTCCATAGAGAAGATACGCCCCTTCTATTTGGCACTACCCTCTGAAGATATAACAATTCTTGAATCTTTGATGGTTTATATGCTCAAAATAAAATACTCGAGAACAAGATAACCACAATTTTTTTAAAAACTTTTCGTGGAAAAACTGTAGTCTTTAGGTGGCCTCTAGGTCCTCAGCCTCTTTTATTAGGGAGCACTCCCTCTGATTAGGGAGACTCAGTCTAACAAGTTTTGCCACGGCTCCTACCTACTTAATAGGAAGAGTGTATTGATGGATTAAAAGATTTAAAAAGAAAATAATAAAAAAAAGGAATAAAATTAAAATCTTAAAATATCCAACAATATGTGATTCTGTACTAACCAATTTGTCATTGCAGGTTGTATAAGGGTATAGTTCCTCTGTGGGGGCGTCAGATCCCATGTAAGTTATGCTTTCTTTACTAAGATCTTTGGAATTTATAGGACAAGTTTAGATGTTGAGTGTGGTAGTTTTGTGCTTTTAACTGAAACACATCCAAAACCGAAAAAATGCATGAAAGTTTTTTCTAAAGGCACTTTTAAATGTTTGTTGAGTTTTCAAGGATACTTTCTCATATTGAGTTTTCAAGAACTTTTAAATGCGTTTGTTGAGCTTCTAAATGCATTACCATTCATGTCTTTCCTCAGTTTTTCATTCATTCTATTTTAATATTTTTTGTGCAATCACATATATTATGCATATGCCTCCGGTTTCAACTTTTAATTTTTTGATTTTGGGTATGTTATACATGCTGATAGTTCAAACAAATTTTAATTTCATATTCCCTTTTTTCTCCTTCTCTACTGTGGAAATTTTGGGTACGAAGATTTAAGCCTTCGATCTAAAAGGAAACAGTAGATGTCATTTACAGTTGAGCACAAAAATATACTTTATAGACCATTCAGTAGATAGTTGTCCCTTTGTCTCATGTCATCTAGACCACATTATTTGATAAATTTCTTTCTTAGCTTACAAAACGGGAAAACCATGAGCTTCTGCAGATACAATGATGAAGTTTGCAACATTTGAGAATCTGGTTGAGCTGATCTACAAGCATGCGATTCCGAAGCCAAAGAACGAATGCAGCAGTGGGTTGCAGCTGGGGGTGAGCTTTGCTGGTGGATATATTGCAGGTGTTTCTTGTGCTATAGTTTCTCATCCTGCTGATAATCTCGTCTCTTTTCTCAACAATGCTAAAGGGGCTACCGTCGGTGACGTAAGTATTCCACTATTTTGTTAAGCTATCTGTTTCTAAAACAATTTTCTGTTTTTATTTTTAAATTTGTTTTTCAGAATGGCAACAAAATGGACTCTTCAGAATTTGCAACTTTAAAAATACGAACAATTTTATTTGTTTTTAAAGATAGGTCATGTGAAGACCATGTTAGAAAGTTACGAGAAAAAAGGCAACTTTTTTTGAAAATTATGTATCGTTAATTGTTTTCATATAATTTCAATTTTCTTTTAAGGAAAAATTTTATTACAAATTTGATCTTCAATTTAACTTTAAATTTTTAAATGGATCTCAAGTTTTCAACATTGTATCTTGTAGGTAAATAACAACACAAGATTCAAAGTTTCAAAACCTATTAGATTCAATATTAAAAGTTCAAAACCCAGCATTTAAAGTCCAAAGACGTATCAACTACAGTTTAGAAACTTCCAAGTACTAGTTCAACTAAAACTTATTTTAAAATGAATTAAAGTCAGTTATTTGGAGTGGTTACGTTGAAAATGCAGGCTGTTAAGAAACTTGGATTATGGGGTCTCTTCACACGAGGGCTGCCGCTCCGTATAGTAATGATTGGAACCCTCACCGGAGCTCAGTGGGTTATCTATGACGCATTCAAAGTTTTTGTTGGATTGTACGTTTTTCCTATCATTATTGTTAGTTATTTATGTTATTTCCAATGTCATTAATTTACTAATAGCTCCCTTAACTAATTTCTTATTTCCTTTTCAGGCCAACTACCGGTGGGGTTGCCCCTGCCGCCGCCGCCACCGAAGATGCATCTCCTGAACTTTGAAGCGCATATAGGGCGGCCGCCCGCCAACATTCATTGTTGTAAAATTGGAATGGAAACCCACGAAGAGAAAGAAAACAATAAAGTCATTACAATAAAATGAATTTAGGATTTTGGGAAAGGATAGTTGCCGCAAGAAAGAAAACGGTAAAATAATATTTTAAGCATGTACTTTCCCAATTTGGTTCCTCTACTTTCACAATTAGTTCTGGTAGCTCTATCGCTGGATCATTTTTAGTTATCATATGGGCCTCCATGTTTTTTAAAAGTGATATTTTAGTCACAAATTCTAGAATGAATATTGAGTATTGTCATGTTGAAAATTGATTCAAAAAAAGGAGATAAAAAGCAAAATGATACAATATAGGAACTAAAATGAATATTTTAAAAGTATGTAGATAAAAATAGATTCAAATTAAAGTACAATAATCAAAATCGATATTTTAAAATATGACAACTAAAAGTACAAAGACTAAAATAATAAAAGATAGGTATATATTAATTCACACCTTGGTCTCAAGGTTAGGGTATCAAACTTTTCTTTCTAGGCGATGATTTCTTTGTATGATTCTTTAGCCAAGCATATGTATTGTTCATGTATACTGACGGATTTTACTTTTCATTTAAAGTAAACAAAAAAAATACCTAGATTTCCTTCTGATGACTTCTAAGGAAGAAAATTTGATAATTTTTCTGTAGTAGTTATTCAAACTTCATTTATAATAGAAAGGAACATATAGTTTAAATTATAATTAGTAATTTATTTGAAAATAATGTGAAATTCTGCAAAAACGAATTTTTTTTTTTAATTTATCCAAATTTAAAATCAAGAAACAATTATACACTCACAATATTAAAAAAATATATATTCTTTTTTGAGTACAACAAATGTGAATTGGGTGATTGAACCTTCAACCTGAAAGAAAGATACCTTAACCGTTAGCTATGTTCATGTGGACGAAAAAAAATAGAATACAAGTTTCAAATTAATTTCTAAAAAATAGAGCATTAAAATTTATTTTAATGTTTTAATTGTTTAAATTTAATGTGCAAATTATGAATGAAACTAGTAAAAATGTTAACTGCTTATGTTCTGTTTGATACCTCGGATTTTGAAGGAATTCAAAATCATGACCGATTTCAAATGAATTTCATTATTTGGTACCACGTGATTTTGAATGATTTCAAATCCTATTTCTACTTAAAAAAATTTTCATATCAAAATGATCGGATTTTGTAGGATTTCATAGACTTTCAAAGTAAATTACCTATTTAACCTCGTCATATTTTAATTTCTAATTAATAAATTTAGACTAAAAACCCAATTCAGTAAAATTTTTATTTTCTTCATTTCCAGTGAACATCAAAACAAAGAAATCTAATTAATTCTTTTAAAATCATTATCATTCCAAACAAGATAAAAAATTTAAAATCATTTCTCGAATTTCAAATAACAGAATTTAAAATCATTTCTCCAACTTTCTTGGCGTGAAACATGAATCCAAAAAAATACATACCGAGAATCTTTCGAATTAACATCAAACAAGACCAATATTGGGAATATAAAAAGGCAAATAAGAGTAATCCTACATGCCTAAAATTTAAAATCGAATCCAAGTAAGAAAAAAAAATCTGCATTCATCGCCTTGAAAGAGAGAAAAAAATTCAGAGTAAAGGCACATAACTGCAAAATTTAAACATAAAACACGAAAATCTTAATTCATTGCAAAATATGAAGCCGCATAGAAGAAAACCGAAGAATACGGGGATAACAAAAAGGGACAGAGGGAAAATGACCATGATCCAAAAAAACAGCATACCAAAACAACCAGGAAACTTGTGAAAGTATACCCACCCAAGCCTTGTTTTGACACCGTTCTTTCCAACTTTAGTTTATTTTAGTTCCAACTTTTAAAATGTTCATTTCGATCTCTCTACTTTGACTAATTTAGTCACTGTTGGTAAAATTTTAACAAAAATTATAAACTCTTTAATATGAAATCATTACTACATTTCAATAAATATACGGAATGTAGTGTCATATTCAAATTATGATTGAAAAAATAAAATGAATGGACCAAAATAATCACGTTTTAAAAGTATAAATACCAAAACGAATGTTTTGAATGTACAAGAACAATAATAGACAAAAGTAGAATGGCTAGTGACCAAAATGAACGTTTTGAAAATACAAGAAGCAAAACAAATAAAATTTTTGAAAGCATGGAGACCAAAACAGTATTCTAATTAGTGAAGCAACACACACTAACCAACTAGGAATATGTTATCAACATTATAAGTCTGCACTAATTGAAAGGCAATTTCTTATTTGACTTCCATTCTCAACTTAATATCTTCCTAGTCATATACTCACTGAGCAACTGGAAAATTTAAAAAATTCTGCAAGAGAAGGCCACTACAATTTACAAAGAAAGTCGGTAGCCTTACATAACCACTATTATTTTTTACTCTAGAAAGATATTACGATATTGATAAGAAAAAAACACAACATTGTTGATGAAAACAAATAGACGAGTTATGAGTAAAAAGAATTAAGAAATATAATTGAGTTTCAATCGCGCTAAATAATTGTTAAATGGGTGCAGTGCAGAAGTAGGTAATGTGTAAGCAAAGTAGGTATAACAATAAATATTACAATATCCAATTATTAGTATATATATGCTTGGTTTCCATAGCTAAAATATTTAAATGCACAAAAAGATAGATTTCTGGTTATGATAGTGAACCTAGTTTATGACATTGAAAAGACTACCTAGAGGCAAATGTTTACTATCCCATCCTTGTTTATTTCAACGAGATAAATACCAAAATCAAATAGAAATCAGTCAAATAAATGTAAGTTGGGAGTAAAAAGAGAGAACTATCGTGAAAAAGACAAGGAAGAAACGTAGCATAACAAAATACAAGCCACCTATAGGATAAACGACCAACACTTCATTGTAAGTTAATGTCAAATCAAGCACTGGTTGAAAATATTCAAATGATTTAGAATGCACTGAAACAACTATTGTTTTTTATTTATTTATATTTTTTTTATTTCCATGTGTTCGGGCCAGTTTACGCCCACCTCGACTAATCACGGGCCAACCGTTGGCAAGATAACTCGTAGGATATTAAATCTTAGGTAGGTAGGTGGCCACCATAATTTGAATTCATTCCCTCAAAACCCTTTGCTATTTACAATGGTCTTTATTGACCGGCCATCCCATGATGGTTGTACTGAAACAACCATTAGCGCGGCTGGAATGGAATAATATTCAAATCTTTAGCCAAAAGACAGGCACTACTAGCTGTTAGAATGCATTGAAACTTTAATTATGATCAATGATTCCATTATAAAATTTTGACTGTAAATCGGACAAAACTGTTTCAGAAATAAAGACAGCTGATAAAAATTCAAATTAGCCAGAAAATACAAGAATTTCACGTAATCATGTTAACACATCATACATAGCACCAACATATTGAAGTGGATAATCTTAGCTAAAGGAAAATAATGTAGACGTTGAATATAAATGCCTTTTACCTTTATAACAAAATTAAATATCCAAAACATACCACATCCAAATATAACTAAAATAGATGGAAGTTTTATTGAGAATGGACAGATCTCCCGATGAAATATTTACTTTTGTCAATTAAAATATCATAATCATATAGAGTTCCATGATTGAAAAATCCAACACTACATAGACTACTTAGAAGTTATATTCTTCTAACTACTCAAACTTTCAATCTCATTAAACAACTTAAGGCTCTTCTAGCAGCAACTTCACGCATTGTCCATGAATAATATCCACCAAAAGAAATTCAAAAGAGAACAAATGAAGCTGTTTGAAGGAGAAAGCAATGCACACATTAAAGCATAAGGTACCATATGCAGGAAAGAAAAGAAGCAGAAAGGAAAGAATTAGCACCAACATAATATATGATACCAGAAAATTTCAAATCATTCCGTTCTGTAGGTGATTAAAATAAAAATAAATAAATAAAATGATCCAATGAAAACATTATTCGTTCTCCAGCCTCTACTGTATATGATCTTGCAGACAACAAGAAATGGACTTAAGCACACAGTTCCATAATCCTCAGTTTACCAATGAAATGAGATCCTGACATTCCAAACACTGATACTTAATTTTGGATGGTGACATGCAATATGCTGATGATGAAACTTACAAAGATTTTGCTATTCCTAGTAACATTTTCCATTGCCCTCATAGGTTTACCAAATGCAGTTTCCTTGTGCGCGTGAACGGAACAGAGGGAGGAAAAAACTGTATAAGTGAAGATCGAACAAAATCGCCGAATAATAATGCAATTCATTCCTTAGGAGTAACAAATAAAGGAATCTAGCAGAATTATTTCTTCTAAATTCTTAATTACTTCAAAGAACACKATCAAATATCAGTGAGGCACACTAATTAACGTGCAATGTCTAAAAAATAATCGAATCTATCTGAACCTGCGCAGGAAAATTAACATTTATGGGAGCAAATTTACGGCAAACACTGAACACGAGCAAATAAAATATCCAGGTCAGAACAATCCTTCGCAATGTAAGACGAACTAAAAGCGTTACCGGGAGAATGAGTGAGGCGATCTCGAATAGAACGAGCGGAAGGCAAAGGAACGTCGTCATCTTCTACATCCGCCATTGTCGATCTGAAATTGCTCTCTAATCTCTCGTGATAAATTTGATCTGCAAAATGGTACCCTTTTAGATTCGGAATTTTCAATATTCACTCCTTTTATACCCCAAGTTCTCGCACTATTCCAGAACCCGAGAAGCGTTTTATTAACTAAATGAAAATGGGCCAGTTAGTGGGCCTAAATGAAAATGGGCCGACCCATGAAACAGTGTGTGGACATGGACTTCCGCCCTAAACTTGATGAAAGCCTGCCAAACGAAATTTGAAATTCTTTTTTATTTAATTATTATCCTCTCCTTTATAATATTACACGTATATCACATCCAATACAAAATTTGTATTAAAAATAGACCATGAGAAAGTTAAAACGGACTAAATTAGCTTGTTTTTTTAAGGCCTTCTGCGCTTTATTTTTATGTTTCTGAAAATTAAACCTACAAATACAGCTCTTTTTTTACAAAAAAAAAAAAAAAAATTATGCATAAATTTGGATTATCAGAATCACAAATTTTGCATCATTCTTCTATAAAAGAGATTCGACCAAACCTGCAAAATAAAAAGATTATACATCAATGTAATGCTAGTCACACACACTTCGATATTTAAGTCAAAATCGAATTGATGTGAAGCATAAGAACAAAAATAAGATTTTGTAGCAAGTCTTTACCCTCTCTATCTTAATTCAAACTCTTTAGATAAAAGGCACTTAGAATTTTGATAAAGGGAACTTGAATGGGAGAAACTACTACTTTTTTTCCTATCCATAACAAAAATGTTTTCATAATATAAGTCAAATTTTAAAAACTAAAAACTGTTGCTAATGTCATTTTATTTTTAGTTTTATGTTTTCCAAAATAGGTCGATTTTTGTACAATTTCATTAATTAGTTTTTCACCTCTCTTGAAAGTATATTTGAATTCTTAACTAAATTTCAGAAACAATAATTTTTTTTTTCCAATTTGGCATGGATTTTGAAATTGTTTATAAATATTATATAACAAANAAGTAGTTTTTGAAAATTATTTCATTTTATTTTTAAATTTTGGCCTAGATTTTGGAAATGTTCATGAAAAACTATTTAAGAAAAACACAAATGAAAACATATTTGAAATTAACATTTCTATGCTTAATTTTTAAAAACAGAAGAACGGCAACCCTTGTATTTAGAATATAGAATTTGGGTAAGATAATACAAATATATTTTAAGAAAGGTAACTTGTGAGCAAACAAATAAAACTTTCAAAAATAGAAAACTAAAAAACCATCCAAACCTTAATAGCTATTTAGATTTTAAATATTTAATAACATTTTACTCTATTTGTAATTGCGAGATTATAAAGTAATTGCATTTGGGGAAAGTAGTAAAAATGAAAATATTTATAAAGAAAGTTGATGCGGGGAAATTAAAGTATTAAAGTAGATGTAGCATGTGGTTTGAATGATGCACATAGTAGATGACGTAAGCAAAGCAGAGGAGAGCATAAAGGTTAAGAATCGAATATGAAGATGGAATTTGCAGAAGGGAAAAGAGAGTAAAAAATAGCGTGTTGAAATTTCCCTATCAAAGGACACACAGATAGGGATAGTTGAATGAAGCCACAATTTTCCATTTACGTGGTCCATCCCCAAGTTTCCCCCTTTTTCCCCACCAAATTTCATTTTTGTCCCCAATTTTTACGTTTATTTTATTTTCATCTAATTTTGCGACATCTTTGGGGAGACTTAGCTGGTCGAGCTAAATTGATATGTTTGTAATTTATCCATGTTTGAGAAAATTATTTATTTATTTTTTAAAAGTGATGGGTATAAGTATGATGTGACATTTACTCTTTGGTGTAATTATTTAAAGTGACCGAAAGAATTAATCAGGTGAACTATGTTCAAATTAACTTAATTTATTATTAATTCTATTTAACAGCTAGATAACATCTTAGAATATATATATATATATATATATATATATATATTAGCGTGTTAATTTGAGTATGTATTAAGTGACCTAGCATAAGCAAATTTGAATTGGATGTTAAGTGGTAGAATAATAATAAAATCAAAATATTAATTTATTTTTTTAAGTTTAGATTAAAGTATATATTTTGTACGTACTTGAAAATGAGGTCTAAGCCTCCAATGGCTCTCCGACAATCCAAGAATTGCAGCATGTTGTCGTGGATTCGGTTGGAAGTTTACGCCTGCAAAAGTACGTCGACTCAACTAATAACTCAGGCGTTCAAGATATGAAATTGTGGTTGGCTCGGCTGATCAGGCATCTTGGGTATGAGTTTGTGGTTGGCTGATATCTCATGGCTCGCGACCATTTCCAGTAGTTTGGCTCGATCTTTATTAAGGTCGGAGTAAAAATTTCTTTCCCGTGTCACTATGCTAACTCATCCCCATGGCTAATGAAAAATTCCAAACAAGATAGGTGATTCGATCTTTGCTCCTGAACCGGCTTGTTAGAGAGGGGACTTTATTTTATCAGAAGAGAATGGACCACAGTTATATTTATGGGACACTTTTTTTTTTTTTCTTTTATTTTGAAAAGGGACATTTTTTTATTGTTTCTCTTGTTCGTCCCAATCCATTTGAACAGTCAAAATAGGTAGGGGGCGGCCAATGATATAGGACCACGTATCACTCCCATGCGCTATCATGCCGCATGCTCCTCTTTTTTTTCATTTTCCCTCTAAGTTATAACCTCATTTTTAACATTTTCAAATTTCAACATCCATTCTTATTTTCCTCTTTTAACTTCTATACAATATTAAAAAAAGAGTATAGTGTGTTTCATCTGCCTTGCACTTCTTACTCATAGAAGAGAATTACTCTAAAATTACTTTTGCATTTTATATGTTTTTAGAATTTTTCAAACTACTTTTTTTATTATACAAAGTTAAAACATATATATTTTTTACCACTCTTTAAATTTTCAACTAAATGTTAAAACGAGCATAGTTCGACGGTAATTGACATATATATCCAATCAATAGATTGTGAGTTTGATTCACCACCCCCAACATGCTGTACTATAAAAAAAAGAGTAATAAACTTTCAACCAAATACTACACTTTTTTTTTGAAGGTATGTTTATATGTTTTAAAATGCATGCCATACACACCTAGTCTATTTGGTTGATATTTTTATATTTAGAAATACCCTTACCTCATGCTTGGGCGGTAGGAAATTCCTACGACACGTCCAATAAGAAATTGACATATATAAAGATAGCTATATCTTCCTTTTTTAGAAAAACAAGTGTACGAAAACAATACGACACAGCCACGGATATGTCAATTTCCTATTGAATCACATTCTATGTTGTAGAAAAGTTCCCGCAGTCCTAAGGCGAACACGAGGTATTTATTCCTCTTTTATGTCACTCAGATAATTTGAAAGTCACTTAATTAACTTTCATAAGGTCGCTTGCAAAAGCTATCTCGACGCTCAATTGATTCAATAAAGTATTATTGTTATGGAATAGTGATGGCTGCCACGTGTTCGAGAGTCATCATGCATCATGCTCGTGCTACTTTGAAATATAATCTTGTGTGATCCAGCTTGAACCAAGTCATTGATGATAGGAATTCTTTAAATGAGTGTTTGGGAATGCCAATGGGTATGTAGATACAATGTGTGTGTTGCATCTCGAGGGCGATGTATGGTATTAGGATGAGAATATTATGTATAAGTTACAAAGGACGAGCACTCAATGCCATTGCCAAGTTGGCCAATCCAATCATGTGAGTTGTAGGCTTAGAGATGTTGATAAATAGTTTTGTTGTTGAATAGAAGAAGAGCAATTCCCAAATAACATGGAGAAATCCACGCAAGTCTTTCTCCTAAAATTATATGATTAAACCATCTCCATCATTTAGATGTATTGATTAATAAGTGTGCAGAGGAGCTTCACCAAATTATCAACAATCACATCGAAAGAGTGTCGATTAAGGAGTGGCAAAATTTTACATTATATATGTTCTTATTACGGGTGAAATTGGAGCTTGTCATTTGTAGCTTACCTAGAAACACGTGTTAGAGCTAGGCTCGAACAGGCCGAGGTAAGGGGTTAGGCGAGGTTCTCCCCTAACCAACCATGCATAAAAAATTTGACTCGGCACCAAATTGGATGCCTGGATATCACCAGTGTAAAATCTGCTGATCAAGAACGTAGAAAATAGTGGGACAACACTTCCCAAAGTTCCCCTATAAATAACAGGATCATTGATATAACTTATAATTAAAGGTACGCAATCTTTACTAGAATCAACTCGACATTATCTCGAACTAACTACTAACTTAAGCGAGTATACATGGTCAAATACAACATCTCAGTGCAAGATTTTATTTGTGGGTCATCACTTTGGTTGAAAAGGCTTTCGACTTAGATTGAACGCAGACTCGGTCAGATATATATATATATTTTCAATTATAAAAATTTAGAGGGGCAAATCAGAGAAAAACTGCGAAACTATGAAAAACAAATTTTGTTTTGATCATTGCTCTTTTAGACAAAAATAATATTAGTCACGTAAATAATATCGATTAAGAATAACTTATTTATGTACATAACTTACAATTTAAACTGAAAATAAATAATAATTAATATTTAGAATTTAGAATTTTTAATTATAGTATTGTACAAGAAATTTTCTTGTTTTCCATTGGTTTCCTTTATTCTCTGTTTTATATTTTTTTCTAAAAGTTCTTAACAACTACTTTCTTTTAATGTTTTCGATTTGTAATTTTTTAATGACAAAAAGAGGTTTTTAATCATAACTCAATTTTGAGAAAGAAAAATTAAGAGAATAAAATGAAACAAATTGAATTTTATTGAACAAAATGTGTGATCTATAAACTCAACCTAAAATGACTTAAAGTACAAAACTATTATACACTTGCAAGAGATAACTCTCAAACCAATACTTGAATATTAAACCAACCTTGTTTAAAAAAAAATGATATTTTATTATTTTGATCATAATGTGTACTTCACTCATTTAATTTCTTGAAATGTAGTCATAAATTTGTATTGAAAAGTTTCTATTGTATGCAAAATTTATATTAAAGTTTGACAAAATAGATGAACCA